CAGGGAACGGGCTCCATCAAAGACCTCCACCTGTAAACGGCGGCGGTCCTCAGATGGACGAACCTTTTCTCCATCTCTCCATCGGAGCCCGTGTCAGAGTGGCTCTGCATTCCTTGCTGGTAAAACCTCACTGCTTCCTTTTTCTTTCTCCGCCTCTCTGGACCTCTTCCTGTTTCACTGGCTTTCATTTGGGGGCATCGTGGAAAGTCGTTACTCATTATTTTCTCTGCTGTCTCTTTTCCCACATGCAGGCTGTCACTGCGTGAGAAACGATGAATTATGCTGGTGTCTGGCTCTCCACAGGCGCCAGTGACTGGGAACCATAGAGCTGCTGCTTTGGGTCTTATTCTTCTTAAAAGTTCCCTCCAAACCCGTCGATCCTGGTTTGTTTAACCCCGGATGCCAAATGTATGGCTTTGGCTGCATTGAGACGTATTTTACAGCCAGTCAGCTGTGGTAGGTGAGACACAACGGAGGGAGGCCCCCATTTTCCCTGCTGCCTGTTAGATGTGGAGCAGCGCAGGCAGCTGCAGGTGGAAAGTCCTTCTAATAGAATCTAAAAGATCCCACCAAGCATGAAGAGACATTGTCACACTTCAGTTCTCCTGCTTTAATTGATCCAAACGTGGAGCAGCTTTTCACTTTGAAAGACAGTTTGAGGTCTTTGAGGCGAGGGTGGGTATTTTTCACTAGTAGATCTCTAACCTGCGTCAGAATGAGGTGAAATTAACGAGAGAAATGATCAGAATGGTCACAGAGCAGAGACTGATCTGACCAAGGTGTTCAGAAACATGGAGGAACCTCAGAGCAGGAATGATTGGACCTTAGAGGGAGGGGCCTCCAGCCCTGCTGATCGCTGCCTTTCTGCTCCACGACTGCTTTAAATCCTGCTTGGAGGACTGGAGCTTTTAGTCCCAGTAGGGAACTTTCCATCAGAACCACAGAAATCCCATGTGGCGTTCCCCAGGGGTCCATCTTAGGGCCCCTCCTATTTACTATCCTAAGCTCCCTCTAACTCCGATCTATTAGTGATCATAGTGATCCCCGTATCTCAGAGAATAGACTTTAAATCCTTCTGTTAGTCTGGAAATCACTGAATGGCTGAGCTCCACAGTACATTACAGACTGGTTGGCAGGAGATCGACAGCCAGACCTCTCAGGTCTACTGGATCAGTTCTAGTCTGCAGAACCAGAACCCCCAGGACTAATATACCTAAATATTGTTGGTTAACTTTCCAGGTTTCCTTCATATTTTAAACAATTTTATCTTAATTATTATTATTAATGATCTAATTCTAAATTATTCCTTTTATTTTTAGGTTTTTCGGTTCTAGCGGTTTGTTTTTTTATATAGTGTGCTGACAGGAAAGGTGATATGAGAGAGGGAGAGAGGACCCGGGTCGGCCCCATGGAGGACTACGGCCTCCAGATGTGGGTCACGCTCGCTAACCACTGCGCCGCTGAAGCACGCCGTAAATTACAAAGAAGAGCTGCTCAACGTTTTCTGCCTTTTGCTGTTCTGGCAGCTCTACTGAGCCCCACGCAGCCCCGTCTGTGATTAACAGCGGGGGCTCATGGTGCGTTTAAAGACGGCTCAGAAAAACACCTTACCGCATGTACATGGGAAACAGGTCACGGATATGGGAAGCTGGGAGGACATGCCCCCCCACCTCCCCCGCCCCATTCCACCCACTATGCCCACAATTACTGCCTGGCTTCATAAGTCAATCCAGGAGAGATTCAGGCTCCTCTGTTAGGTCAAAAAATGTAGGTTCGTAAAAGAGGAACTGAGTCTACACAGAAAAGGGATTTTTAACAGCTTCTACAGAAGGAGAGAGTTACATTCAGCTCACTACTCTCTGACTGACTTCCTCTGCAAAGCCTTTTTATTAGCAGATCATAACACGTGGGGTGGGTTACAAAATGGAGTGTTCTTCTGACAAGGCAATTGATCAGGTCATAGGACAAAATGCTCCTCTGATGGAGTCACAGAACAGAGTGGTCTCCTGATAACTGTGATTAGCCTTGCACAAACATCAGTAATTTTCCACCACCGTTGCATGACAGTTTGCAGTAAACAGAGTGAAGCATCTAATTTCTCCAATGTTTCATATGTACACACATTAACTTTATAATCATCATTGAATAAACCTAACATCCTCCCTGCAGAGCTCTGACGGCTGACAGACAGTGATGGATGATTGAGAGACGCTGGTTTAGGACGTCCACCTCAGCGGACAGATTCATCCTACATGGCAGTTCTACTGGGGGGGGAAACTAAAAACAAAATCTGTTGAATATTCTGTTGTTTTGTTTCCTGTCAGAAAAAAAGATTATTTGGGATACGAAAAAATTTTTTAATCTAAGTCAACTTCAGAGAAAAATAGATAAATTTAGCACTTGTTTAAAAATAAAAAACACCTACATGGATTTTTATCCAATAAACATTTTCAGTTTGGTTTTAAAAAGCTAAGATGGACTAAAAGGAAGGTTTTATTTTCCGATCCTACTGCGACACATTGTCCACCTTTAGTAAGGAAGCTCTTCCTGAAAATAACTTCACAGAAACACAATTCAGAAACATGTGACCCTTTAAAGTAGGGAGGATGGAGAATGAAGCTCTGAGGAACAGAGGATGCAGAGCAGCAGGGCTGGCTTTTAGGCTCCGTCCACACGAAGACGAACCCTGGCCTAAACGCACAAATTTTTCACCAAACCAGCCTCCCATCCACACGAAGCCGGCGTTTCGGGGGTCTGTAAACGATAATTTTTTTATTCACCCTTCAGAGTGGGAAGATTCTGAAACGCCGTATTCGCGTTTCCATCTTTACACCCTAACCGCATTTTTTTTTTTACACGCATGCGTCATAGCGTCGCCTCTAAACACGCAAGCGCGACACATCACAACAACAATGGCGCCGTTGCTAATGCTACTCACCCTGCTGTCGGGCTTACAACAGAATCTTCTTCTTCTGGAATATCTCCAGGAAAAACAGAGCAATATCGACCACATAGTTCAGCACCTGAAATTGACTTAACCACGAAAATGGACCCGCAGGGCAACCATGTATAAATATTAGTGCGCATGCCCTACATTTCGTCGCTTATTTTTGCTTTGGCACCACAGCGCCACTTACAGGCCTGGCATACATTTTGCAGCGTTTTCATGCATTCGTGTGGACGCTCACATTTATTTTACGTCTCCGTCTTTACGGCAAACGTTTTGGAAAATATCAGCGTTTCGTGTTCGTTTTGACTTCGTGTGGACGGGGCCTTAGTCTTTTGCTCCCCAGAACATTGCATAACTGCTGTGCTTAATCCAGCTGTGGGCCCAGAGGCTGCTAACGGCTCACAGACATTACATGGGACTGACTCTAAGCCAAATAAGGGGGTGTTTATCCATCTGCAGCTACATGACAGGTTCATGAACATTTCAAACAGAGGAACCTCTGTTTGAAATGTCCCCCCCCCCCCCCCGAGAATGTATGCATAAATAATCCTGTAAAACCCATTGATCACTGACTCCAGGCTGCAAAGGAGCAAACTATTGATCAGGGATTCCTTCAGAGGCCATATTTTAGATGCAGGCGTCTGCAGAGTGAATGTTAGCCAAAGCAACACTGCAGGCTCTCTGCTTTCTAATAATCTCAGCTGTTCTTCACGTTTATCATTGCTGTTATTATAGACGTAGAAATTATTCACACTTTTTCTTTAATGCTCTGAATAAAAACTATATTTTCTTCACATTTTGTCTGATGGAGATTTTCTGTAATCTATAATATAATCTATAATCCGCTGGTGATTCTATAAACTTTCTGGCCTTTTCAGAGCCAAATCTATAGAATATTAATAATCCACACTGAGGAATATGTTTCTCTGTCATCATGATGGTTCATTGCCTTTTATATGCGTCTCTGGTTTGGTGCAAAAGGCTCTGAAAGTCCGTCTATCTAGAAAAATGTACGGATGGAGATCAGCCTGAAAGTCAGAGGATTTCTCCTCTAAATGAGGTTTATCTCTGCTGAACATCTCACTCATGCTGAGACTGTTTTCATTGTCCTAACCAGCAGGTCAGAGGAGGAAAGCATTTGATTCCAGCCAACAGCCAATTAATTAAAAGCTTTATTAATAGTTAGAAAAACTATAATGATGCAGAAAGGCTTTATTTTTGCTGGAAGGATCACCTTCTTACTCAACTTTATTTAGTTTGTAACATGATGGAGTAACAGGTCATCATTCCCACTTTAATTCAACTGGAGTTATATTTGCATGTTCTAATGAATCCATGTGAAACAGCACAGCTGTTCACTGCTGTCCTGCAGGTGGCGCTGCGTTAATGCAGGGTTTCTATTGAACTACGTTCTACTGCTGGTTCCTCTTTCTGCTTTAAAAAGATTTCATCATTTTAAAGCGTTTGACTTCAAATTATTACATGAATTCATTCTGACAGTAGAGGAGGCGGAGCTTAGCAGGTCCATCCATCACATCACCAGGAATCGCTGACGGTTAAACTGGTTGGTAACCAATATGGTAATGGGTTTTATTTGAGTTTTTTCTAAAATCAGGATGAATTTCTCCTTTTTTGGTTCATATTAGGCCCCATTGATCCTCTGCTGGGTCCCTTCAGCCTCTTTATTCCTGCTAGTAGTGAATCCCGCTGCCTAGTGTGGGCGTTCTCTGTCTGCAGTGAGCCTACAGAGGCTCTACAGCAGGGCTGCTGGACCAGGGATGGATCGAAAAGTTGCAGGAAACTGGAATTGCCCATCTCTGCTCTAGAGGGACAATGTTCCTTTGTTGGCAAACACGCTCACAGTTATGCATCTTCTGGTTGAATAAGCTGACATTAACTCAGAAACGGGGTTTTTATTATGAACAAATCAGAATTCGATTCGTTTTTTAGCAGATTTTCAGCAGTGAGTGAAGAAGCAGTTCCTCCAATCCAGAGTAGGCGTTTCCACCCTGTTCAATAAGTGACTGGCTTATCTTCTCTGTTCCTCCAGGGCTGAAGGTGCGCGAGGTGATGATCAATGTGTCCCGTCAGCAGGTGGAGGATTTCCACGGGCCGGAGGACTACTGGTGTCTCTGTGTGGCCTGGAGCCACCTGGGGACCTCCAAGAGCCGCAAAGCAACTGTCCGCATTGCCTGTGAGTGTGGAGGTCATTCCTCAGCGTTCCCACTGCCTCATTCCCAACGCAGAGAACAATCTCCCAACAAGAGAAACAAGCTGGGAAAAGGTGTTCCAGAGCGTTTCAGAGGATTTCTAAAAATACTCTTTTTTTGGTGGCAGAGACGAGTTTGTCATGATGTTTTTAAGAGATCTGACCAACATGCAGGAAACCACTCAGAGAACCAGAGTAGAAGTTTAACAGGTTTATTGAAATAATCAATAAGGTTGATCCAGGGTAACTCAGAGCGCTGGTGAACCTGAAGTTAGCAGATTCTCTTCCCAGAATCCAGTCGGTGTGGGTTTATCCAGAGATTGGGGGGCCCGTTGGAGGGCGGACAGGTTTTTGGTTTGGTCGGTTCCTTGAGGAGCAATGGAGCAGACTGCCACTTAGATTTCCAGGAGAACTTGAACGGGTCGTGTGGAGATCAATCCCCCGCTCAGTGTGAAGCTCAAAACAATCCTTCCAGGGGGAGAAGGCCAAAATTCCAGTTTGCAGGATGACTTCCTGCCGAAAAGGCAAAGACAAAAACAAGGTTAGAACTAGTTAGTGGCAGTCAGCAGCTTAAGAGTCCTCAGTATTGAGCACAACCAGCCGCAGGTGTGTGGGAGGACCAACGAGAACAGGGCGCCACCTGGTGGTGGAGGGAGAGAACGACTGAATTTCAAACATGTTTGATTTTCTCCCAACCTTACGATTCCTGATGGGGGAGTGGTCGTTAGAGGCTGATCGCCCCTCGTTACCCCCTGGTCACTACACCACGCACCATCAGGCTGAAAGTCAGCCTGATCGAAAAATGTTTGCACGACTGGAGAATCGTCCCGAAAAGGGCAAAAGATCGTACAGCGTGCGCCCGACTTCAGACAGACAGATCTCCACAATGATGTTTCTTCTCTGTTTGGCTCCACTGTCATCTAAATCTGAACAGTAGTTCTGCATTGAGACCGATCTGTGACAGTGAAGCATGTTGGAAGTTCCTCAGAGCATTTAAGGGTCTTTCCATGTCTCACACAGAAAATGGATCCATTGAGGATTTATTTTCCCCTAACTGAGTCACACAGAGACACATTGAAGAAGAGCTAAGAGTCATAGATGTTGGGTGTTTAGCTGAGCCAGTCATTGTTTGTCCTTCACTTATCCAAGTTCTGGTTTAGGAGAAAACGGATCCAGAGGAGAGACCCAGATGTTCTGCTTTATCATCTGATACCCAAAGGTTCCTTATTTAAAGTTGCAGAAAGCAAAAAAAAAAAAAAAACACCATAAATGTAATAATGAAAATATTTTAACAACATATAAAAGATAGAATATGACACTAATGGTGCAGCTGAACTTTTCAAAATGTGATTTTTATGGTTTCCTTTGATCCTCTGCTGCTATTTGAACTCATCTGCTGTGATTGTGACGTGTTTCCGTTCACTAAAAACCTGCACAGCCTTTCTCCTTTCACCTGGCCTGGTTTACAGACGCGTTTAGGTGAAACCGTTCAGCCTTCGTCTTCTAAAGGATAAAGCAGAGTATCGAACGTCTCTGTTTGGAAATGCTGCTTTAGTTTGGAGCAGACTGTAAAAAGCTAATTGAAGCGATGCTATCTCAGCTCTAACTGAATTAGATCTATCAGCAAGAATGAAGCGGTCAATTCCCAGACCCCAATGCTGCCTGATCAAGGTGGACACAATCAGTTCTTCTCAGCCTCTGGTGTCTAAAACCAATATTCCCGCTCAAAGGAGGTGGAGGTTATCTGGAAGCCTCCTCTGTATTGAGCTCATTGTTTTTACTGACTGGAAGCAGAGAGAAATCCAAACACATTGAAATGATCAGTAGAAGAAAAGATGTGTCCTTCAGGACAGAGAAAGAGTCTCAGTCCGTGTCTTCACACTCGTTTAGCGCCTCCATGTCTACAAGCTCATCTTCTACTGGCTCTGGTTTGTGTTTGAATGGAAACCTTTTCAGATCCAAAGGTGAACTGATTCATCATCAGTGTCAGGATTTAGCAGCCAGTTCATGTTATGCATCCATTGCAGCTCTGGGTCTGTGTTTGAAAGACGTGTCCCTGCAGATCTGCTGGGTCTGAAGATCAGGATGACCGTGAAACTTAGCATCTGACGGCCGTTTGTCTCCCTGCACAGATCTGAGGAAAAACTTTGAAGAGGACCCCCAGGGGAAGGAGGTGCCCATCAGCGGCATGATCGTCCTGCACTGTCGTCCTCCAGAGGGCGTTCCTGCACCACAGGTAAACTTTGCACTACTGTTGCAGCGTAGTGCTTTTTTAATGACAATAAAACTTATTTTTTGTGGCTGCTTCATGCTGCTCATGAGAATGATCTAGATTTATAGATGTCTTCTAATGGTTGTAATTTAATCTGAATATAAAAAACTAACTAAACCTTTTTAATCTTGACTTAGATTTTAATCCAGACTGCAGAAGCTTTCTTCTTCGCTGTTATTAGTTGAAATAAAAAAAGTGCTGATGAATGGCACCTGCGCCCTCTAGTGGAGAAATATTTCAGTCAAACTAGTATAATGACAGATTCTAACCTTTATAACCCCTCCCCTTGAAATCAACCATTTAACTGTAATGGTATTTATTTGGCCCTCTGCTGGCCCTCTGCTGGCCCTCTGCTGGTCCTCTGCTGGTCCTCTGCTGGCCCTCTGCTGGCCCTCTGCTGGTCCTCTGCTGGTCCTCTGCTGGCCCTCTGCTGGTCCTCTGCTGGCCTTGTCTTTCCCTCGCTGCCCCTCTTAGGTACCTCTGCTTCATTTTCACCTCGCTGTCCCTCCTCCCTTGTCTCCTCTGCTGGCCCCTGCTGGTCCTCTGCTGTCCTCTCTGTCCCCTCTGCGTCCCTTGGAGGTCAATCCGCTGCTGCCGCCTCTCGGTCCTCTCTGCCCTTGTCGCCCCATTCCTCTCTGCCCTCTGCCTTGGTCCAGCCGTTCTGCTGGCCCTCTCGGCCCTCTGCTGTCCTCGCTGGCCCTTGTCTGGTCCTCTGCCCTGCCCTCTGCTCGCCTCTGCTGCCCTGCTGGCCCCTGCCGTCCTCTGCTTCATCTGCTGGCCCGCTCTCTCCTCTCTGGCCCGCTTGCTCCCTCTTGCTGGCCCTCTCTGCCCTCTGCTGCCTCTGCTGTCCACGCTGCCCTCTGCTAGTCCTCTCTCCCTCGCTGTGCCTCTCTGTCTCTGCTGGCGCCTCGCTTCTCTTCTGTGCCCTGTCGGATCCCCTGACAGCCCTCTGCGGGGCCGTCTCTGCCACTCTGTCCTACTGCTGGCCTCTCTGCTGCCCTCTGCTCCCTCTCTCCTGCTGGCCATCTCGGCCCTCGGCTGTCTCTCTGGCCCCTCTGCCCTCTGCTGTCCCCGTCGCTGGTCCTCAGGCTGTCCTCTCTCGGCCCTAGCTGCTAACCCTGCTGGTCCTCTGTGACCTCTGCTGGACCCTTGTGGCGCTCCTCTCTGCCCTCGCTGGGCCTCTAGCTGTCCTCGTGCTGTTCATCTGCTAGCCCTCTCTGCCAAATTTCTGCTGGCCCTCTGCTGCCCTCCTGCTGCCCTCTGCGGTCCTCTCTGTCCCTCTGCTGGCCCTCTGCTGCCCTCTCTGCCCTCCTGCTGGTCCTCTGCTGGCCCTGCTTCTGGCCCATGTCGATCCTCTTCTGTCCCTCTGGCTGTCCGTAACTGCGGTCCTCTGCGGCCCTTGGTCGCGTCCTCTCGGTCCTCTGCTCCTCTGCTGGAGCCCTCTGCTTCCCTCTGCTGCCCCGTTGTCGGTCCCCTCTGCTGGTCCCCTCTCGGTCTCTGCTGGCCACTGCTGGTCCTCTGCTGAGCCCGCTGCGTCCTCTCTTCCTCTGCTGGTCCACTGCTGCTCCTTCCTGCTGACCTGCTGCTGGCCCGCTGCTGGCCCTCTCTGCTGGTCACACTGCTGCCCTTTGTCGTCCACTGGGCGCCCTGTGTCGCAATCCTCTGCAGTCCCTTGGCGTCCACTGCTCCATCTCTGGTCCTCTGCTTTCCTCTTGCTGCCCTTAGTCGGTCCACTGATGCCCACTGCTTAGCCCTATGCTGGCCCCTCTCTCTAGCCCTTGGTCGTTCCTCAGCTCCCCGCTGCTGGTCCTCGGCTTGCCCTCAGCTGCCCTCTGCTCCTCCTGGCCCCTCTGCCCTCTGCGGCCCTCGCAGGCTGGCCATATCTGCCATCTCTGTCCCTCTGCAGGGCCTCTGCTGTCCTCGCTCCCGTGTCGGACCCTCTGTCTGCCCTTCTGCGGTCCCTGACTTCCTCTGCTGTCCTCTTGCTGTCCTCTGCTGCCCTCTCTGCCCCTGCTGCCCTCTGCTGCCCCTGCTGCCTCGCTGCTGTCCGTACATGCTGCACCTCTGCTGTCCCCTTCGTCCTCTGCTGTCCTTCTCGGCCCATGCTGGATCTCTGCGGCCCTTGGTCGAGTCCTCTCTGCCCTTCGCTGTCTTCTGCTGTCCTCGCTTCCCTCTGCTGTCCTCGCTGCGGTCATGCTGCCCGCCTCCTCCCGCTCTGGCCCCTGCTGCCCTCTCTGGCCCTCTGCCGTCCCTCCTGGCCCATACAGGCGGGTCCTCTGCTGGTCCTCTCGAGTCGCTCTGCTTGTCCCCCTGCTGGTCCCTGGCTGTCCCTGCGGTCCGCTGCTGGCCATCAGCTGAACCGTCGATGTTGCGAAGCCTAAAAGCTAAAGTCTGCATCAGTGGCAGTGCGTCTCCAACCACAGGCAGGCTGCTTACTTTAGTACGACATTTTAGAGAGGCGTGACTTTTCACAATACAACGCTGCGCCGGGAGGCCCAGTCCTGCGAGCTCCTCACTTGCTCCACAACAGGGCTTGTGAGACACGACGGCGAGCGTGACACGCCCTGGAAAAGATCGCAACACATCCTTTCTCCGATGTAACGATATGAGATCCTTCGGTACTACTAGTCCAGAACGCCTACATGAGAAAGATAGGAATATAAACTGCTGTGTCTACTCGACACAGAGTGTAGCTATCGACGTGACAAGAGAGGAGAAGTCAGTGATTGCACAACATGCGTAAAGACATCCGAGGGTACAAATCTAAAAGAGTCGATCCACTAGAGAGCGAGGACATCTCATGCAAGGAGTGAACAGATCACAAAATACACCGCGGTGTACAGATCAGATAGGCAAAATAGACAGAGCGATAGCGGCTGTGCGCAATGACAGTATAACGCGTGACGCAGGGGTCTAAACACACTAGTGTAATAGGCTGATAGTGTAACACAGATAACAAGTGGTCTCACGCTTCGACAGAGTGCACAGAACTAGAAACTCACTAGAAAAAATACTGACAGGTAAGTAACGATGTACAATGCACGTATTAGAGAAGGATACAGAACGCACCGAAAGAAAGTGATGGAACAGCGTGAGGACGAGACGACTAGGACGAACACATGATGCAATCATGAGGGTAAGTATACGGAGGGAAGAGGAGGGAGAGAGGAAAGAGAGGAAATAGTGTCTAGGCTACAACAACTAAGGATACGATCTACGACAGTAGAAGAAACAATCAATACGACATCAACATGCTGCGTGCATGACAAAGATGTGAGGATCTCACCTATGAAAACAGGCACACAATAAAAGCGAAACATGGCATGCGAGGAACGTCCACCCACGGAAGCAGGGGCGATGAAAACACAGCGGACGAGTCCGAGCGCAGCCATTGATATAGTTGTCACATTCACGGAAAAAGGCTCGGCGAAGAGGCGTGCGTAGTGGGATACACGTAGGCACAATGACGTAGCGAGGACGACATTCACTCGGCGTGAAAGACTACGGCTCAAACATAGCATATGTATCTAGAGCCATCGAACAAAGTGTGAGTATCATAGACAATAAGCGATGAAAGAGCTAAGATTGCGGGACCACGGAAAGATGAGACGGTGGAACAACAATTTAGTAGGGTGACAACAGAGTGGGTCTTGGACATCACAATGAGTAAAATGGAGACGATGCCAATCTGATTAATACCACATAGCGCGCGATACACAGGGACAGAGTGAGAGAAGAGGGGTGACAAGAGGAGAGGGACAACATTAGGAAGTCCAGAGGAAAAGGAACGTGGCATTAATAAAAAGTTATAATTAATTGGGGAGTGAAGAGAGGGAAAAGACAGGAGGGAACTAGAAAGATTATGCGAGATGCTAGTAGTGAACAACATTAACAGAAGGAAGAGGAGGAACAGCGAGAGTTGGGCAAAATAGTAACAGGAGAGCAAGATGAAGAGAGAACGTACTATAGCGCTAAAAAAGGAAGTTGGAAGCGCATACCGAATCACATGGAGAGACAAGAACAGGGAAGTCACACTCACAGGATGGCGAAGAGAGGGGACACAGCGAGCAAGGTGGAGATCAGAAGTCAACAGAGGATGTCAACGAGGAGGTATAAGAGGAGGACAGCAGGAGGAAGAGGAGGGAAAGAGGAGGGAAAGCAGGCGTGAGAAAGCGGCGTCTGGCGAACTGGCACTTCGAGACTGGACAACATGAGGCAGAATAAATTGACACATGGAGTGGACACAGAGGAGAAAGAGGAGGAATCATGCAGGGGTACAAGCAGAGACGAGAGATCTCTATTCTCATTTTCACTCATTAGTGCGTGGTCAGCAAGGCGGCTGGTCAACGACAGTCTAGTCGAATCGAGGTACCTCATGGTAGGTCGGAGACTAGGAGAGTAGCAAGTCACACAGTTAAGAGGGGGGGTGAAGAGGATAGGAGCACGAAGAGCATAGAATGAGGAGACGGAAGTCATGTTTAGGAGGGGACAGTGAATAACGTGCCGGAACTATTCAGGAGATTACACTCAGACAGAGAGCTGGTTGACATCTAGGGATTCTGTGGCGCAACGAATGCTATCTCATGTCAACTACGTGTAAACACTACGTGGCAAGCGGAAGACAGTGGAGATTCAGAGAAGTAGGGAGGAGAGACAGTGAGAGAGTCAATGGTTGAGGCTTACCTTCAGAGAAGTGCTTAAGAAACTAGAACATGAACTGCTGGATGTGTCACAGAAGTTGTCGGAGTTCAAGAGACACTGAACATAGATGAAAGCGGAGTAACAGTACACAGGTACTGTACACTTATGAGTAGGACACGTTAACTAGAGAGAGTGCCACAGAGAGGGAAAGACAGACGGGAGAAGAAATAGTAGCGGGGACAACAGAGATCAGAAAGAGAGAATAGAGTCATACTGGTAACTGTCAAGACAGAAAGACACTTAGTGATTAAAACAAGCATCAG